TTTTTGGTATTGCATTCACAGCGATTCGTAGCGATCAAAGTTGATGAAGCGAAAAAATCGATATCTACACAAGCAATTAATTAACACTGAATCAACTTTGGTAGTGATTAATTAAAATAGTTGTATGAAAAGCTTGTTGTAGAAAATTCAGAGGGAATAGCTTCAGCTTTAGTACTTCATAGTTTTGTAATTACTGCCCATGTGCAGGTAGATTATGTATCTGACAGGCTGATATTGATTCAGCCGGGGTTGCGGGATTAGCGCAATGAGGCACTGTGGCGTTGGACAAGCAACCTCGGCCTAGAACAAGAGAAGGAACGGGGGCGTTTTTATTCAGTAAGCGTCTGATACTCACTATGGCCTCACCCTGGGCAAGAGAAGTGATTTGATGATTATTCCCACACAAAAGCGCCTGATCTTCATTTATTGAGCCCCAGGTCCGGCACCATTCTCTGCTTAATTCAATATAAATTTAGATTCTGTGGATTCTCGGCAACGTAACTGTGTAACTTGTAAGTGTTGTTCTCGGAAATGATTTGAAGGAAATTCAACTTTATGTACATCAACTATATCTAAATACATTTTTCTAACAACATTATTACGCAAAGCTTTTCCTGTTACATTGAATTTTCGTGCTGTAACCTATGCTATAAGAATCTCGAAATTAATTGTGTAGAGTACCCTCTTGGAATGTACATCTAACACAGTTTTATATGTTGTATATACAAAGCAATCAACGCCATCTGTCGGGCTGATTTGTGAACTTAAACTATCCAGGGCGCCACTCAAACGCATACAGAAAAAAATCATTTAAATCTGTCAAGCCGTAGATATATAAAGATATATTCACAGGATCTCGGAAACGGTTCTAACGATTTCGATGAAATTTTGCATGTAGAGGGTTTCGGGGCGATTTTATTTTCAGGAAAAATAATAATGAAATATAGTGAGGTTGTTAAGGTAATCCAGGTAATACTGTAATAATGCTCGTATTTCTAGTTGAATTCTCGCCGATTTTATTGTTCAGAATTCAATAGTAATTTCAAAATAAATTGTGCGATTTGTATTACCATCGTAAAACATTATATTGCTTTTAGTTTAAGAACTGTTTGTTAAGGTAGCCTTCCTCTTACTTATAAAATGTATCGTTATTACCTAATTGAATATAACAAGCTCGAATTCTATCTTGATCATCACATTTTATATCATGATTTTTATTATAATCATGTGAAGACATAAGAATTAGAGATAAAGAATTGACAACTGAACAATTAAGTGCAAGGCCTGATTTTTCAATAGTCTTTTCAAATTAAGTGTAAGGGTCAGTTTTTCAAATAATAAATAAATTGTTGAATGTCGTGGAGGCCCAGGGGTTAAGGAGCCCGCGAGGAGATGTGGGTTCGAAACCTGGCAAGTACTAATGTGACTTTTTCCGAGTTATATGTACTTTCTATGATTATTTTGACACCACTGACATACGGTGAAGGAAAACATCGTGAGGAAACCTGGACTTATAATTTCTAATTATAAGTTTGTAATAGCCAACCCACATTGAGCAAGCGTGGTGATTAATGCTCTAACCTTCTCCGTATGAGAAGAGGCCTTTGCTCAGCAGTGGGCAGTTATAGGCTGATGATGATGATGAAAATTTTGGCTGTCACTGTCTTATACAAACATTCTGACGCGACAGTATCATAATTATTCCGCAGATAACTTTTATCTAACTATTGAAAAATCAGCGCTAAGATGATAGAACAATGTATATTTTTTTTAACAACAAAATATTTTTTTGAAATAAATAAACGTTCTAACGTTCCGTTTTTACAAACGGAATCTTTTATTTATTAATTGTACGTTGTTTTTGTGGTAAATGTCGATGTACAATAGCGATAAAAAGGGATGTTTGCTCCAATCAAGTAACGATAGAATTGCTAATACCATATATTATTAGTTCGATTACGTAGCCAATTTTGGGTGTACAACCCTATTATTTCATTTCTGATAACGCGGAAGTTGATTGTATAATTTTGGCCAATTTGGTAAATTGTCCTTTTCTGTGTGTTTAAGGGAATTCCGAACGAAAATATATTATTACTAGCTTTTGCGCGCGACTTTGTTCGCGTGGAATAGTGACATCCTGCAGCTTTTTGTTCTAAAATTCTACGTCCTTTCTCGAGTTCCAAACTATATCTGTACCAAATTTCACACAAATAGGTTCAGTAGTTTAGGCGTGAAGAAAACACAGACAAAAACAGTTACTTTCGCATTTATAATATTAGTTCGGATAATTTGGGTTTTTCAAAATATCACGTCTATTGTTGTAGGTATGTAGTTTGTAGCAGTATTGTAACAAGGTTTTATTTTAAATAATATTGATAGAACCAGAAACGAAACTAAGCTACAAGCTACCTCTTGACTAAGAATTCCGAAATGAAAACGTCAATCAATCTATCAATGCGCATCAAACTGATAGCTTCGGATATTAGTTCTACCATTCACCATATCCAATCTTGAACATTTCATACTGTTGAATGGTCGAATAACTCGTAGAATGGGCGAAAAACTTTTTCACAGAACATAAAAGCAAATGCAAACAAGGCACCGTTTATGCTTTCAGATGTCAACCCACAAAGGGTAATGCATTCCCCTCTTGTATAAGAATGGGGAACAGAGGAGGAATCGTAATGCATGCGATCTCTTATCTGCAACTACGAAGGTATATTTTAAATGTATTTGGTTCAAGCACAATACGAGTTGAGGGGATTTTATTATACAAGGCAAGAGTCTGCAAATACAGATGCTCTGAATAGCACGGGCTGCATTGTTTGTTATTATGTATTTCTGTTGCGAATGCATTAGTCTGGATCTGCTTACAAGAAATTTTGCTTGAGGAATGAATATAAAATGTGGACGTGAATTTCGCAAGCGATACTATTGATATAAATTTTCAATTTTATTTTTTAGACGCATTTGAAGATGGTTGATTAAAATTAGTATGTTTTTTTTGAAAATAAAGTTTTGATGTTTTGATACTGTACCCAAATTTTAAAGAAAAATACATGTTTATAGTGATTTTTGTAAGATATAGATATAAGTCTTGATTGTTTCATGATCGGGGTCACCAATTCGTCGTCAAACGTCCACAACTTTAGTGATGAATCATAAAATAAAACATTAGCATCAAGATCAAAAGAAAGAACTTAAGCATAGTCTATGTTTTGGTTGAACAACCCATAAAATAACAAAGTGAGAAGCTACAATATTTACGATTTATAACTACACGGGTATTAACGCGAAAAGTGTTTATAATACCTTGGTAGGCTTGACGTTTCGACCTGGTTGCACAGGTCGTGGTCACAAGCAGACTGAATGCGATGTCCAAGCTCCCTTCGCATTCGGGCGACGAATCTTCATCTACCCCCTTATTTCAAGCCTACTAAGGTATTTCAATAAATACTTTTCGCGTTGATACCCGCGTAATCATATGTTGTAAATATGAAACGCAAAAGTATAAAAATAAATAAATAAATATGTTTAAAACTTTCAGCAAATAAGTGACTTGACCTAACGTTTATTATAAATTTATATAGGTATGTATAAATATTAACGACGTCAGTTAGGTACCTAACCTACAAGTAATTAATCGAAGGAACTAATTTACCACCTGGTTGACGAAATGAGGATATTAATTAATTGATTTATATCTTTTAGGTATTGGATTTCATTATCGCTACAATATAAATCTAGGTACTTATTTCGTCTGTAGATATATTTTTTTATATCTTCTACGTCATATTTATCAATCGGACGATGCTTTAAAATTTCCTTGATAATGCATGCTCGTTTTGGCTGAGCTTAGTAGTGTTTAAGCCGCTTAAATACCTAAATGTACGTTGCCAGCGACAGAATGAGATGGAGGGAGATCGAAAGTGACACAGGCCCGGTCTCGACCCTCGGCATTGACAAATGCGATGTAAGGAGGATATGGAGGATATACCAATATACAAATTTAAATATTAGGCAGTTTTTGTCAGTATGTATACATTTTATTGTGCTAATGACTGGCTATTATAGTTCCGTTATCCTCAAAGGCTTTTTAAAGAATACTTCCGCCCTGAGCAGGGCAATAGACTTTTACTGACTAAAATCCACTCCGTTCCTTCTGTTTCAGGCCGGAGCTAGGGTACAATATTGCGCTTCACTTTCAACCTCGGGTGAACATCATTCCTGTAGGACGTCATCTGTGGTGGACGACCTAGGCTACAAATAACAATTAGGACTTCTCTCATATTTCTTTGAAGAATGCCATTTAATCTTGATTGGTTGCTGCTTATCAGCTTAATACCTATACACATACGGGAATATTTTTTGTACTATGTAAAAGTAAAATTGTTAAAGAAACAGATTAAATAACTAACTTGATTTAATTAAAATGAGTCTGCTACGCGACGCGCACGCTGTTCATCAATAAGTTTCGTTGTGAAATTAGTAGAGCATTTCTTACTTAATTCATGTAAATTATTATTTGTAATGAATTTAGCAAGTCTCTTGATAGCCCGCGTGGTATCTTAATAAAAGACAGCCTATGTGTTAATACATACCAAACAACCAAAATAATCAGTCCAGCCGTTTATGGCGTGAAAGAATAAAAACAAACATACATACATCTAAAAATTCTCACAAACCTTCACATTTATTATATTAGTACGATTTTTACAAAAGAAATCATAGGTGCTTACTTTTAGTAAAGATATGTATAGCACGAAGGAGACTTAAATCAATGTACACATCGGTCTTCGATCTGAGGTTTTGTGTGGTTATTACACAAGAGATAATGATTTTTAATCAATGTTAAATGACGTCAAACGTTCACAAAAGATTGTCATCATATGTTTTGAATGAAATGGTTGCTATCAACTCATATGATTGGTATCAGAACCTGCATGTAATGATAGTCCTAAAAATGTCTGATAAATTCATTAATTGTTATTGTAATTAGGCACCAGCTGGAACAATAATCCATTTGATAACTATAAGCGTCTTTTTACGGGCATGCTGTTATTGTAGCAGTGGTAAGACCCCTATTTGAGGAGTGGCTTGAGAGATGCCATGGCGTCCTTACCTTTGGCTGCCGCAGGTGCTTACCGGGCACGGCAGTTTCAGATCCGGCGGGAGGAAACGCGAACCTACAGCAGCTTTCCCCTCACAAAAAAGGCGTCCTTTATAGAATTCGTTTTCATTGAAGCCATATAGAAGGTTAGTTTCGTAAAATTTTGTTTAAAATATTATTGTCCTGGCGTTTTGATATTTTGTTTTTACTATCCAGAAAAGGATTTAAAATATCTGTCATTATTCCTATATGTTATGTAGATCGATCGTTATTTTATTATTTGTTTATTTATTATTGCTTAGAAGGTACATTTTACATTATAAAAAGTATAAAATGTCCAACAAAACTGTATACACAGTTTGTCTATTGGATCAGATTATATATACTAACAATGGTATATATACTAACAATACGTTATATATACTAACAATGTTAAATAAATCAACACAAAAAAGAGAGCATTGTTCAGCTTTTATCTCAAAAAACAAATTAAAAAACGTATCATTTATGAGGCAAGATGAAAGAAAATCTAATCAAAATACTCACAAATAATTTGTTTATTTTTCCTTGATATAATACATAATACAAAAACACTTGAATGGCTGATATTACCTCGGTATCTTTTTTAAATCAAACCTATATAAATATAAATAAATAGTTGGCTAAGAAACTCTAAAAGTAGTAAAATTAATACTACAAAAACAATAAAGTTATATCAAATCATTTAAGCCGTTTTCGAGACTTTGATATATGTATGTATACCATGTAGATATGTATATACAAATATGTACAAGAATTTCCCATTTCAAGGTAAGTATTACATTCGTATAAATGTCATGGAAATAAAAATGTATTTAACCTAATAGGTCAGTACTGTGTATTTAGTATATCATAATAAATATTTCTTTATATCTTATATTATCTTTTTTCAATGTTAATACCAAGTAGATATTAAATAATCGGATGTAAAATATTTAATATCTTTACAAGATAATAATCAAATTTTAGTTTTTAATGAAAACAAAATTATCTGTGTAGTCAAGTGTTTTAGATTTATTATTATTATCTAAGTCATCAATAATAAATAATGTACAATCAACAATAAAAACATATTTACAGATTCGCATTTCGTAAATATTATAATTATTTTGAAGTGATTATATTTATGAACATGATAATTTCAAAATAATTATAACGAGTATTTAAGATTAATCCTAGGCACTAATCTAGTTGTCCTAAAGTCTATACCTAAATATCTAAATAAATATTAAAAATAAATTTATTCTATTTTGGACATGTTCAAAATCGTACTTTTACTTGCACAGTGAAAGGTTAAAAGTAGGTACTGACTCTGATATTACAGGTTTTCCACACTAAATAAATTACTATTAAGAGATTGCTAATAGTTCCATAAATATATGTACTATGAATCCGTCGGTACATTCTTACGAATCCGAGCGCCGTTGTCACCATTAATTTCAACTGTGATTACGTCAGGACCAGCTTTTTCTAATCCTTCATTTGCTTTTGATGTACCATTATTTTCAATATTCACGTTCTCATCTTTGTCTTCTTTAACTTTCACAGGCGGTTTGTTTACTGAAAGAGAAAGAATAATTAAAATCAGAACTATAATAATGAATTTATCAAACCCCAAGCTTACGGCGTTCGTATACCTATTCTGTCTTGAATCACCACGACACAAATACGTTTAACACTAGGTACGTAAAACTTTCATTTACAAAGTATTTTAAGTGTATAAAAGACGAGAAGTCAAATCATTCCAACGGACACAAACAAATTTATTACTAGCTGTGTCCCCTGATACCCGTGTAGCGTATAGTGTATAGCGTATGGTCACCCAAAATAGAGCTTGCCAACAGTAAAAGCTTTTTCAAATCGGCCAAGTAGTTTTGGAGCCTATTCAATACAAACAAAAAATCAAATCTTTCCTCTATATACATTAGTGTATTATTTTTTTAGTGCCGATCATCACTGTTCGACATTGTCATCATCACATTTTTTTAGTGCACATCAGTTCCGCTGCGCGCGCGCAAGCGAACGGTAGAATATTTGTGCGTGACGGTGTGTATCGGGGAATTTAAAATGTCCTCTGTGGTAAAATGTGCAAATTGAAATGTAGTGATTAACAAAGTGCTTGCCTTCATCCGTAACAAAATATATGTGATGGATGATGAGAGTATAAGTAGAATCTATGCGAGCGCTTTCTCTGAAAGTGAAATTGTAGTTGCGTTCGCCATTATGAGCCCATTACGGTTTATAGGAATTCCGAGATATTTTCTACATAAAACAAAATCTCTTATCTAAGTAAGTACTCAAAATTATAAGTATCAAATTACCTGAATCCATTAATAATTTGAAAAGAACTGTTACAGGAGAGTCGATCAGTAGAATGAAGAAGAAAGATACGAAAGCTGATAGCACCGTATACGACAAAAACTTGAATACCTGTAGAACAAACAAAGCAAATTAAATAATAAACCGATTTGTCAAGAAAAATATTATTTTTGGAAATAAAACTTACAAGGTTTCCGACAGAAAAGTAAAATGGAGCCACTGCTGTGTTGTTTAAAGTAAACATGAGAGGGTAGTGGAATAAGTACATCGCGTAGGACAAGCGCGCTGGTAGTCGCCATTCATCGAGTGATAGGAACCAATTTATAGGACCTGCAATTAAAAAGAAGGAACTTTGGTTAAGTACACTAAAGACAATGACATTTTTTTAATGAATCATCATTATTATCATGTGCCGGAAGACGTGCTCTGTCTAACAAAGCCTTTAGTCCTCCACGTTGAACGATAACTCGCCACTTGCAGCCATTGGCTCCCCGCGATTCTGACGATGTTGTCGGTCCACTTAGCGGGAGACTTGTCCTACTTACGTTTTCCTACCCGTGGTCCGTCAAAATATTTAATTGAAGTAATAATTATTTTTAATAAATATATATTATACTAAACATTATTAAGTATAATTTTCTCACCAGAATATCCATGAACACAAGCAATAATTAACCAACAGATGGCAACAGCGTAAACAGGTCTCATGAAAGAGTTCATTAAGTTATCCACTAGTTGATTTTCCCAGTCAAACTGTTTGATTCTGTACTTGAAGTAGAAGATACCTCCTAGTATACCAGCAGAGCAGGCCCAAAAGAAAATGGCGAGGAACTGAAAGTTTAATACGATCGACGTAAGAAAACTGACATAACATTGCGTTTGCTATGGACACACATATAACATAAAATAATTATTTTAAATAATTAAAATTCAATTCAGTTTTACATATAAAAAACGATATTTAATAACTAGAGAAGAGTTCAATCAAATTTATAAATGTATATATGAATTTTATTCCTTTAGAGGATTAAGGTGATAATTGCTCATAAGCCTAATAAAAATATAGACCAACTTACCCATGGTATTTGTAACTTGCTCTTACGATAGAGGTGTAGAACGTAACCAAAGACCATCCCCACGAAGAAAGGAGAAGCTCGTGCCAGAGTATTGAAGTAATATTCAGCTAAATAGTCCATCATTTCTGAGAAACGGCTGAAATGGTAACAACATTTTTTTAACTAATAATCTTTAACACGTTTTTTAAACACGGATATTTTTGCATTAATTTAATTATTAAGTAAAAAGGGCTCCTTGTAAATATTGTGTATTACCTCGGCACAAGATTTCCAGCTTGTCGATTTATGTTGAAACTGTAAATTGTAGACCCAATCAACACAGCTACTAGGCCACCAATTAACCCTATCCAAGCTTGAAGTTTCTTTCCACTGAATACCCAGATCAGGACTAAAGGTGACAGGATGTATAACTGGAAGTCTATTGCCATGTACCAGGAATGTGCTATACACTAAAACAATATAAGAAAATTTAATACAACGTACGCCCAAGGCATTACTTTGTGACAATACGAAGCTTTGTGATAACTTAAGATTTCATCATGTGTCTTATTTTACGAAGTGGAGATACCAAGTGGATAATGGAAACGCTATCTACATATATAGCTTATTTTTATTATAACTTTCGCGAGACATTCTAAATTAATTATTATGTTTTCGGCTTACTCACGTAATAATTTGACGAGATACGCGGAATGCTGCTCATGAATATGGGTCTCTAGCATGGCTTGAAACTAGTCGAGTATCTCGTCAAATTATTACGTGATTAAGCCGAAACCATAATAATTTATATAGCTTATGTTATTACTACTTTATTATCTTCTGAATGGAATATGTGGAAAACTGTTTTTTTATTATCTAAGTACAAAACTAAAGAATACGCAAATAATAATAGCACTTATTAAAATTGAACACATGATAAGATTACTTATAGAAAAACTTACCATATTTCTTGTGTGGACGAAATTTTGAACATGAAGTAGGGTTGACCACCAATTATTTCTACATCTCTGAGTATGTGTGATAACGGTTGTCCAATGAGGTCCATCGTAAAACTGATTAAGGAATGAAGCTTGAATAAGTACAATTGCAGCTAGCAATGGGGTCACGCGTACATAGCGGCTCAAGTAGAACCAGTGGAGATTCTTCAGAAATGTGACTGTAAAGAACAAACACAAAAATGACGTTTTTGCGATCAATTGAAATCATTTACTTAAGGAAGAATTTGAAAATAATAAATTATCAAGTTCAGATTATTTTCCTTTGACGATTGTGTGCTATTATCAATTTGCAGATTATACAATTCTTTTTCTGGCTCAGATCATCATTACAAAATATCCACATGTCTCCATTTCTCAAGGTCAAAAGAACTTGACAGAAATATTATAATAATAATATGTTAATCAAAAATTTTCTTTTTGATCAGCTTATGTTGTACTGGTTTAAGTAGATTTATCATCTAGATATTTAAATGCCACTTACTTTGATTCATTTTTGCTGCTGTTGTGTATACTAAAAGCACGCCTGTTACAGTGAAGAATGTATCTACTGTCATAGTAGCCGCAGTTATCCATAAAGCTTCAGCGGAAAACATCCACTATAATCCAAATAATAATCACTGAATCAATTATCCATATCAATTACTGTAGGTTATTTAGATAATAGTGCAATGCAAATCTAGATTTTTCTTTAATAATACCACGTGTTTTTTTTATAGCAAAGGCCGACAAACAATAAATCACATCACACACCCAAGGAGTTACGAGTGTGTTGCCGGCGTTTTGGGGATAAGGGTTTCGGATATTTAAGGATTGGGAAGGGATGGGGAGAGGGTAGGGATTGGGCCTCCGGTAAACTCACACATACGGCGAAATACAACGTGTAAATGTAAAATTAATTCTCGTTTAAAAGCAACTCTTGAATAATAGGTACTTACGCTTTGCGAGTCAGCAGGGTTTGCTAAAAACGTTTCTGTACTGAATGTGTGTCCTACAATGACCCACAACATGGCGAGAGTTCTGATCCCATCGATACATTGTAAGTTACCACCACTGGAACTAAATGTGGTCAGTCTTTGTCCGTTCGTGTAAAAAGAAAATGATCGACAGATTGTACTCATTTGCTTGACATCTGTTGATAGAAACATAAATTTTAACTTAACCTTTTGAATGTCGGTTTATAAAACACAATAGAAAATACATTGTGTCTCGCGTGGATCCACGTTTAAAACATACGAAAGGTTAAGAAAAATTGCAATATGATAAAATTATATTGATAGAAAAAAGTAGGTATACGAAGTATTTTTTCACTTACCTCTCTTCAGGAGAAAACGATAGCAAACATCGTAACTTGTACTTATTATAGCTACAAATCCTATTACGGAAAATATTACTCTGAAAGGAAAAAACTGGTTTTAATTTTATTTATTTATCAAATAATGAGCTGGTGGAGTAAGTGAATTTACAGTAGTAACTAGACATTGTAAGTGCTTCACTTGTAAGGTAACTTATGCACAACATTATATTTGTGTAGATTATTATCAGTTCAAAATAAGCACAACCGCATTTATTTTTTAATTTAAATAAAACTGGTTAGTGTTAATGTTAAAGTTAGATCGACGTGATGCCATGACCTATCTCAATATGTGAACCGAAATTAAGACGAGAAAATATTACCAAGTTATCACCAATAAACAAAATAACCCATTTTTTTCTATTCAAAAAAGAATCTAAGCCGCTAAGCCATAATTTATGATTCCATAATGATAGAAAACTAGGTAGAATTAAAATACTCGAAGGATTACTACTTACACGGCAGCTGTATCAGCTGGGGACCAGGGTTTGTCATTAGGAAGGCGACAATAATGCTCTGTGTATCGGAATCCTATAGCTGAGACATTGAAAAGCAATGAAGATATTGCTTGCTGAGTCGTGCACGGCTTGGGTATACACACTGCTAATCTGAACGTCATCCAGATAAGCGGGTTTGGGGGAGTCGTCCTAAAAATATCAAATTGTTTCAAGTACCACCTAAATATATGGAAATAGTACTTAACGGTCGTGAGACATGCCAAAATGTATTTAGAAAAACAACTTATTCATATAAATTAAGTGACAAAAGCTCTTTAATTTTCAAATCACAAAGAGGATTTTGTTTTTTCAGTTGGTCTAATTTGTAATTTCTATTAAAATGTAAAAGAAAATGAATTTAATGGCACAGAACAACAACTTTAGTCAAATATATTATCATTAACACTAACCTAGTATCAACCTCAAAGTCTTCAAAGTTTCCACTCAAGATTTGTAATTCACTTCGAGTTTTATAATATTGTTCTATCAAATTCATAGTTTCATTGTCAATTTGTAGAGAGTATGGGTCAAATTGTGAGCTTGTTGTTCCTTGCGGACGAGGAAGATGTAGTGTCTGATTGACTGGCACCATAATTGAACAGTATTTGCCTTCGATATGCATGTCTGGTAGTTGATGATCAATGCCCAAACATTGGTAGTAGTTGCCCATATCTACCGAATTTCCAATTAAAACACCTCTTGGCATCCTTATACCAGCGTCAGCAACTGAAAATTGGATTTAATTGTAAATATTTAATTCTGTAGTCAGTGAACGAATACAATCGTGGTGGCCCAAAAGACAATCGTGGTGGCCCGGAGATTAAGACGAAAGTTCAAAACCTGACAAGTACCAATGTGACTTTTTCTGAGTCATATGTACTTTCCAAGTTAATTTAGACGCCTTGACATATACAGTGAAGGAAAAAATCGTGAGGAAACCTGGACTTAATATTTCTGAATTTAAATTTGAAATCCATTCTCCTTGTAAGAAGAAAGGCCTGAATTGGATGATGATAATGATGATGATGAACTCGTAAAATAAAGTGAAATCTGTTTTTGGTGAGTACTTAAAACACACTGATTATAGATGCACAATAAACGTCTAAGAACTTACATTGAAGCATTAACATGGAATTTCTTCTTATAGTCCTTATTTGACGTCGACACTCGGCTGCATCTATAACACTCTCGTATAAATCTGAGTCAACCGCTGGAGTCTTTCTTTCTATCCCATTTAAACCCTGCACAAAAGAAGTACTTAGCAATAAAATTAATATTTGCACCTGCAGTGCCATTTTTTCCTCACTTTTTGTCAAATCCAATACTTTAGGTCTTGCAGCATGGGCTGCGAAATGTAAATAAGTAATTAATTGAGAAGATTTTATATTTTATGTTATTATGTTTAATATATTATCTAATCTAAAGGTTGATTAGTTAATATTTCAATCCTATAATGTATTTAAGTGTGTCGATAAGGTTGCAGAATGAAATGCTTAGGTTAAGATACCTTTAGTAAATATGTGTGTAAATTATTGAACCGGAGTTACCTACACCCGAAAGCGAGCCCGGATCTAAATTCTATTTATAAACGTATCAAAGATAATATTTTATACACAGCAGATTTAATTTTATTCAGATATCGTTGTGAGAATTTTATGGTAGTAAGGATAAGTATTGTATTATTTATCGTTTCTAAGAATTCTGAATTTTGATGAATGAATTGTGTGTTTCGTTACAGCAACCATTTAATGATAAAAAATTAATAAAACATTCCGTTAATTTTTTTCTTGGACAGTTTTTTTTTGTGAGGGGAAAATCATCAAATGACTGCTCCGGCCCAGGGTCGGGCGGGAAGGAGTGTCAGACTCTTACTGACTAAACACCCCCCTGTTCCTTCTCCTGCTCTGGGCTGAGATCGCGGTGCCTCATTGCGCTTACCCCACAACCCCGGCCGATTTCTTGGACAGGTAGCGGGCCAAGCTCAATAATGTACCGCGGCATCGGCCCACCGAGGGAGAGACAGAGAGAGAGACAGAGAGAGAGATATTGAGAAGTACATAAAAAGATGATTGTCCCATTTGAAAAAAAAAATATTATATTTTTATTTTAATCCAACTCCCTTTTATTATATTATTTAAGGTCAGGTCTTATCTATTAAATTACACCACATAGGCAGACCTGTTTATATTTTTTTGGTTTTATCAATAGCAGTGTGTTGCCTCCTTAACAAATTAATTCGTTTTCCGAGATACCTACCCAGATAACGATATAAGTATTATACAAATTTTGATTACATTTTGTAATCCTTATCCTCATTGCTGTGTGAATTTTTGATTACACATGTGAATTGGAATGATCTCGACCGTTCTTTATGGGTTTGTATTAGATGATATGAGAATTTATATTCATCCTTTAAATTTGGTTGCTCTATGTTTTAATCTATTTTTTTTAGAATTAACCTATCGAATAAAGAATCACACACATACATACATGAACCCTAAAAAAATGACATTCCTTTTTTGGTTAGTGTGTGTAAAAATAAACAAGTAATCTCTCTTCTTAACGTCCAGGTAGAAGCATCTTGTTGTCTCCTATTTGAAAGTAAGTTTAAGTTTTACTTAAAAAAGTTTTTATGTAACTTTGACTATTATTGCAAAACGAGAATTTTTTGTAGATAATATTACGAAACTGGCGTTTTATGTTCTGTCAGCTCGGACATTGAGTGGTAACGCATTGACAAAAGTGGTGTACATATAACATGTACCTTTGGTATGTTGGGAGAACACAGTTTAAAACCATAAGGTATGTAAGAGAACGCTGCTGCCTAGCCTCAGTTATTTTATTTAATAAGATTTAATTTTATTTAAGCATATTTTATATTATTGTTTCTATTAGTGTCGTGGTGGCCCGGAGGTTAAGGAGCCCGCTTCTCATGCATCAGGGTGTCGGTTCGAAACCTGGCAAGTACCAATGTGACTTTTTCCGAGTTATACTACTCTGTCAAGAAAGTACCGGGAAAAAGTCAATAATACACAAAATGTTTGTTATTCATCTAAATTTATTTTATCACCTTCAAAGTATGCTCCTTCAGAAACGATACACTTACGCCAACGAATAATCCAATCATCGAAACTTTTTTTAAACGCTGTTTCCGGAATTGAGTTCAGTGCTCGCCGCGAATTCTCCTTTATGTATTCTAACGATTGAAAACGGGTGCCACGAAGGGGTAATTTGAGTGTGGGAAAAAGAAAGAAGTCGGCTTGAGCCATATCTGGTGAATATGGTGGCTGCTCGATGGTGTTTGTTGAGTGTTTGGACAAAAAATCGTTTACAATGATGGCCTTGTGCGAAGGCGCATTATCGTGATGCAAAATCCAAGAATTTTCTTTCCACATTTCTGGCCTTTTTCGTCGAATTTGTTCTCTTAAACGCCGCATAACGCTCAAATAATGTTCTTTATTTACCGTTTGACCTTCGGGCAAGAATTCTGAGTGCACAACACCGCGATAGTCAAAGAAAACAGTCAACATGACTTTGACTTTTGATCGACTTTGACGTGGTTATTTCGGTTTTGGTTCAGTTGGAAGGCGCCATTCCGAAGCTTGTTGACTAGTTTGCATGTCAAACTCGTAAACCCACGTCTCGTCACCAGTAACAATGCGTTTCATGAATGTTGGGTCGGTATTGACTCGTTCTAGCATGTCCTCAGCGACTTTCACGCGATTTAGTTTTTGAAGAAAATTCAGGTCTTTTGGGACTAGCCGAGCGGCAACACGTTTCATACCCAAATTATTTGTTAAAATGGTACGGATCGACTCGTGAGATACAGAAAGTTCGGCGGCCATCTCTCTCAAACTTGAATGAGGATTTTCAGTCACTATTTCCTTCACTTTTGCGATGTTAACTTCAGTTGCAGACGTTGATGGCCTACCAGAACGAGGCAAATCTTCCATCACATCTCGACCGCTTTTGAAGGTTTTGTACCACTCATAAGCACGTGTTTTTGCTAAAGTCGATTCACCGTAAGCCTTCTGTAACATTTTGAGTGCCTCCGAACACGAAATTTCATTGGCGATGCAAAATTTAAGACAAACTCTTTGTTCGATGTTTTTGTCCATTATGAAATTCGCAATACACACTAGATATTATAAAACTAAAAACAGCACTGTTTTTAATATGAATAACAGATGCAACTCAAATTCTGCGCCAAAATGGAAAACAGCTATGCCAATCTAACAACAACAAAAAAATTAAAATTCGAATTTGGAATCATAAAAAAAAAACATTCATTCCCGATACTTTGTTGACTGAATGTAAGTACGTTCTATGATTATTTAGACACCACTGACATACGGTGAAAGGAAACATCGTGAGGAAACCTGGACTTATAATTTCTAATTATAAGTTTGAAATCGCCAACCCGCATTGAGCAAGCGTGGTGATTAATGCTCTAACCTTCTCCGTGTGAGAAGAGGCCTTTGCTCAGCAGTGGGCACTTATAAGCTGATGATGATGATGATATTATTGTTGCGTCATTTTAGACACGTGAATAGAAAATAAATTTATCTGCCTGACAATTTTAACTTTATATACTCCCTTACTCCTCTCTTACGACACGCGATAAGAGTTGGGAAAGTCACAGAAATACTCTACTATAAGACTGTCATTAGACTAAATCCGTGATTTATATAAATATATTCGGAAAGAGTTGTTAAGTGATTATAGTGATAAAAAGTGTTTTACCTAAGTCTATCGGATAAGTATTATCAAGCTTAACCACAGTTTCATTGATAATGTATGAGAACTGCACGCAATATACTTGTTCCCATATTCTTTTCTTTTTTTTGTATGTCACATGTTAGTAGACGAGCAAACGGATGACCTGATGGTAAGCAACCAGCGCCGTCCATACACACACTCGCAATACCATAGTGGTTATATACATCATGAGCCCCTACTGTTACCACGAGGAGTTACAATGAGTGCAGCATTTTGCGAGTTGTTAGGGATGTAAGGATAGGGGAGTTAAGTATAAAGTATGAGAGTGGGATTGGGCCTCCGATAACCTCGCTCACACGGTAAAATACAACAACAAAAATAAGTGTTGGTTTACTCCCGTTATTTTGAGGCCGTGAAGCAACATGACGCAGCAATCACTCCGGTCGAGCTGTCCCTTTCGTGCCGAAACATGGCTCCCCCATAAGAATATTTGTTATCATTTATTTATGTTTATTGAACAACATTTTATATTTTATAAGCGGGGTCGACGAGACTCTAGAAATAATTTAGTTAAAATTAAATATTATATAGGATAATTATATTTTATAATGTATACTTTACTTATATAAAAACTAGCTAACTAGCTACTTTCGCGCCGTGTCACCCGCTGCTCAGCTCCATTTGATCGTAGCGTGATATTTTATAGCACTCCGAAACATTGTATCTATCAGTAAAAGAATTTTGGCAATCCGACCAGTGACCAATACAAATTTTACCTCTTTATGATATTAGTATAGCTGAAATCATTTCTTATTATATATAATTTTCATTTAATCATCATCATCATCAGCCTATAAGTGCCCACTGCTGAGCAAAGGCCTCTTCTCATACGGAGAAGGTTAGAGCATTAATCACCACGCTTTCTCAATACGGGTTGGCGATTTCAAACTTATAATTAGAAATTATAAGTCCAGGTTTCCTCATGATGATTACCTTCACCGTACTCGTATGTCAGTGGTATCTAAATAATCATAGAAAGTACATATAAATCGGAAAAGGTCACATTGGTACTTGCCAGGTTTCGAACCCATACCCTCATGCATGAGAAGCGGGCTGTTTAACCTCCGGGCCACCACGATTTCTATTTTTTTTTAATTTTCATTTACAACCTCTAAATCGGCAGATATGGTATTCTCTTTACCAAAGTAAGTGGTTATCTGTTGCCGAACTAATTGATGAAATTGGATACATTTTCCTTATAATTATTTTCTTAACATAACATTTCGACGGTTGCGTCTTTCTTTCCTTATGATTAGTAGAAGAACAAGAAGACTATTTTTAATAAGGTTTGAGGTAAAATTATTGGTTTAGATGAGGCGTAACCATAGAAATTGTTGGATACGATGGAAAATTTTGTGTTATTTAAGACGGGTTGTTTGGTCTAATTCAGTGGGCGTTACTATTCCTCACATTTACAATATTATCATGTATTCTGTTGATTGGGGAGAAGAGTTGAATTAAAATTATACTTACTTCGTGTTATGCTTACATGTAATAAGTCAAGCAACTCGTTGTACTGTGTGTATCCACAAATTGTTGTCTGGGTTAGGGTGACATTGACATTAGTATGTGACATTGTGTGTTTCTTGTGTACACTGATACAC